CAAGTGCACTGATATTATTTATACCATTTCTACACTAATGCAGTAGTCTGCATAACAGTAAATCTTCTATTTTTTGTGAGAATAAAAATTCAAAGTGGAAAGCAAAAGAATGTAAGAGGGCTTGGGACGTGACTAATGAACAGATGAAATGTTATTTTAGTGCCAGGAATGTCTTTCTTGTTTATTCTGGACCCTATTTGGAAATTGGCATCTTTTGAAATTTGTGTGAAATTCTCAAAATTGCTAAATTCTGACGACTGTATTGGATAGTTGACATCGGTAAATGGGTGGTTTCTTGTACTCATTCGATAGAAAAAATGGAGTTCTAGCAAAATAGTTATGATTTTGTCGACTAGTTAACTGGAATTGGCCGAAAATAGGGCTCAAAGTGGGCGAAATCGCCGATGCATAAACATCGTCGAGACCGCTAACTTTGCGAGAGCATAATTCCATAAGTTTTCCATCAAATTTCATACTTTTGGTGTCATTATGATCGGGAAAAGATTCTCTACCTTTCATAAGAATTTTTTTTTTTTTTTTAAATTTGGGTGACCCTGAGAACAAGTCTGGGAGAGGGCCTGGGGACCCTGAAGGGTTAAACATTAATAATAGTAATGAGCATTACACAATTCTGTTTGAGTAGACAAGTGACAGTGGTTATGAGTTGTTTACATTACCCAGTTTAACTTCTGAGCATTTTAAAAACTGAGTTTGACATACCTAGCATATCAACAACTGCAGTGTCCCAACTTGCTATACTTACTACTAACCACCGCCACAGAAATTGACTTTAGGCTACATACTAAAAATAAAGTAATTAATCTGGGTAAAATAGAATCTATGATATATAGTAAGTCCTCAACTTACAAACATATTGGGACCTCGAGAATTGTGTAAAATATTCATTAATAGAGGAAGTCTTCAACATATGAACACATTGGGACCTTCTGTATTGTGTATAATAATGATATTATACACAGTACAGAAGATTCTCAACATGTTGATACTGTGCTGTACTGTGTGCTTTCTCTCAGTAGTTTTAACAAATCACCCATTTCCCACTGAGGCAGGGTGACCCAAAAAGAAAGAAAGAAACCTAAAAAGAAAGAAAAAACTCATCATCATTCAGCACTTTCACCATCACTCATACATAATCAGAGGTGCTCAGATATGACAGTTTAGATGTCCCTCCAAACTGCCAGTGTCTCAAATCCCTCCTTTAACCCTTTCAGGGTCCAGAGGTCAAATTTCAAAGTGTGCACCAGTGTCCAAGAATTTTCAGAAATTAATTTTGTTATTTTTCTTATGAAATAGTAGAGAATCTTTTTCTGAAGGTAATAAAACAAAAAGTACAAAATTTGATGAAAAATTGACGAAATTATGCTCTCGTGAATTTTGATGTGTCAGCGATATTTACGCATTGGCGATTTTGCAGACTGACTCCCATTTTAGGCCAATTGCATTATTCCAGTCAACCAAATTCTTAGCTATTTCACTAGTATTACTTCTATCGATTGAGCACAAGAATTTGCCAAGTCAACTGTTTCAACTACAAAATAAAGTGACTGGAAATTGGTAATTTGGCCAATTTAATGCAAAGGTCAAAATACTCCAATTTCAAATTAGGGTCCAGAATAAACAATGCAGGCATTCCTGGCATTAAACTAACATTTCCTCTGTTCATTAGTTATGTTTTCAGGCTTTACTAATGAATTCCGTTTTCATTTTTTATTCACGTAATGAATTTTTATTCAAACCAAAAAATAGAAGATTTACTGTTACGCAATATTGTAATAATTGTATAAATAATATCACCACATTTGTGAATGTCTATTAGACCCACCAGCAGGCATGTATTAGACGTGTGAGGTCATTTGTTTACTCTTGAACATCGGCAAAAATTTAACATTTCTGCTACTTTGTGCTAGTTTCAAGCCATTTCCATTACTAAAACCAATCAAAATCATCTCTATTTCTGAAATATATCTTCCATTCTATCAAATGAGACCAAGAAATCGCAAATACAACTATAAAAAACATACAAAAAACACTGCAAAGTTGCTGTTTTAATCGAAAGTTACGGTCTCAGTTTTTTCCTCTCATTATGCACTATGTGCTGCAGGATTTGTTTTGTGTGGTGCACACATACCACATAGATGTATTCTCTCATATCTAGGCCAAAATTTACCGCTCACAGCTTATCAGAGTGAGCTGAGCTCATGACGTAAATCTACAGTTTTGACCCTCAATGTAAAGCCATAGATCTATGGCATGGACCCTCAAAGGGTTAAAGTGCAGGTATTGTACTTCCCCTTTCCAGGTCTCAAGTCTGGCTAACCAGTTTCCCTGAATTCCTTCACAAAATATTACCCTGCTCACACTCCAACAGCTCATCAGGTCCCAAAACCATTCGTCTCCATTCACTCCTATCTAACATGCTCACACATGCTTGCTGGAAGTCCAAGCCCCTTGCCCACAAAACCTCCTTTACCCCCTCTCTCTAACCTTTTTGAGGATGACCCCTACTCCATCTTCGTTCCCCTACAGATTTATACACTCTCCAATTCATTCTACTTTGTTCCATTCTCTCTAAATGACCAAACCACCTCAACAACCCCTCTTCAGCCCTCTGGCTAATACTTTTAGTAACCCCACACCTCTTCCTAATTTCTACACGACAAATTCTCTGCATAATATTTTCACCACACATTGCCCTTAGACAGGACATCTCCACTGCCTCCAGCCTCCTCCTCACTGCAGCATTTACAAATCATGCCTCACACCCATATAAGAGTGTTGGTACCACTATACTCTCGTACATTCCCTTCTTTGCCTCCTTAGATAACCATTCACCTTTTTTCCTTCATCATTTCTATGGTTAACCTCATCCTTCATAAACCCATCCACTGACACGTCAACTCCCTAATACCTGAAAACATTCACTTCTTCCATACTCCCTCACTCCGATGTGATATCCAATTTTTCTTTTCCTAAATCGTTTGATATCCTCATAACCTTACTCTTATCTATGTTCACTTTCAACTTTATGTTAAATTTACTGTCATGATCACCAGAGTATAATGGTGATTAATTCAAGAAAAATAGGGATGCCTTGATGCTGGGGAATGGTCATCAATTCAAGGATTCAAACCTGATTTCCTTCCATTCCTAAGTACTGTATGATCCTTATGGGTTTAGCTCTTCCCCATAATTGTAATAATAATCCATAAATGAGACAGTAGTGCACCTAAACAATATTCAGGATTTTTGTAGTAATTAAGGAAATTGGTAATAATGTTGATGTATGCATTATGCATCGCCCTGGAAGTTGCACTGACTGTTCTTGCCAGTTGCAAAATATCAAGGCTATTCAAATAATCACCAATGCAGTGTTATTTAAATACTTACATATGTAGTCAACAGTAGCTTTTCCTAATTTGGCCATCTTCAACTGAGGTTGGGTGATCTGAAAGAGGAAACACACTCACTATTATTCATTAAGTCACTGTTTTGCTATTAATGTGCTGACATCACAGTTCAGATGAAGTCATTCTGTATGACTGCTTCAGAGTTCTAAGAAATGTATCCTGTACTTCTGGGTGACCATCACCACCTGCAAGAGGACCTCTGCCTGCCAAGTCTTTATATTACAAGGAAACCCTTACTCACACCCCATATGATAAAGGAACACCTGCAGTTTGCCAGAATATATGCGCACTGTAATGTTGATGACTGGAAAAGTGTCGTGGCTGAATGAATTCACATTTCAGTGAATTCAAGGTTGTCAAAGCAAGGTGAGGTGCCCTTCCTCCATCAGCAGGTACAATCCTGTATACACAGTGAGCACTTTAAATCACCCACAATCTGTCATAATTTGGGGTTGCTTTAGTGGTTTACTTGGTCATGGAGGTTTGTACTTTCTTCCCCAAAACAGTACAGTGAATGCTGACCACTAGATCACCACTCTCAAGGACCACCTCTTGATTATTTTCAAAATTCACAGCTGTACCACCTTTATGCATGATGGCATCCCCTGTCACTAGGCCAAAAAAAGTAATCATCAAATGGCTTGCTGAGAAAAATATTGAGGTTTCATAGTGGCCTGGAATATCATGAAAAAGATGGAATCCTGCCACATTTCATCCATGTCATGCCTGCAGCAGTAGATCAAGGACATTTTGGGTCTGCCAGTTATCCATTGATTACTTCAGGAATCTGAGTAAAAGCTTATCCAAATGGCTTCAAATTGTCGTCATGATTTTCATAATAATAAAAGGGAGGCCTTGATTATTTTGGTGGGCACTTTAATTTGTTAGCTGTTAGAGAGATCACTGTATTACTGATCCTTTCAAGGGAAATGCCATGATGCCAGAGAAGGGCTCTTGATACATAAGATTGGAGATATCCTCTCCTTCCTTGGATCAACTTTGATTATCTCTCATTTAATGCTCCAGTTGCTATATGACCCCTTTTAGGTTCAGTGCTCCCCCTTGAATGTAAAAATAAATATTACTAATTGCTGTATGTCACTGGTTCATTGTCTTGTTTCATATCACAGCTTTACTGGTTACACAGCCACTTTATTGCTCTTCCACCTATGGCTCAGTGACTGCTTTATGCTTTTATTCCAGTGTTGCTTCACTAATGTGTTCCATACTGATACTCCATTGCTCACAATTAACCACTGCCTCTCACTGATCACCAACTGTCTAGCTCTATGTATGCCTCTCACTCTTCTATATTCTTTTATTCATCTTTACCTCATTTTCTTTGCAAGTCTGGTCCATATAGCTGCTACTTTGTTGAATTAATGTGTTAAGTTATTTGAACTTTTTACAAACAAACTGGCTGCACCACAGTTTATGGGAAGTGTCAGAACTTTCACATACATTACAGCTACCACAACAAGCCTCAGACATTACAGTTGGTCACATTGTTTGTTGCTAAATAACCTCCATAATAGTATTAATTGATGATACAGTTACACAATGTCTTTGTAGATTTGGAAGTGACTATGTAAAACGTGAGTTCTTAGCACCGAGCATCTCTGGGGATGTTGTGGCATGCCTAGGTGTGAGTGAACCTGGCGCTGGATCAGATGTAGCCAGTGTACAGACAACAGCACGGCGTCAAGGTGATGATTTAATTATCAACGGTCAGAAGCTGTGGATTACAAATGCTTGGGAGGCAGACTGGATGTGTCTGCTGGTGAACACTTCTACTGGACCACCTCACCTCAACAAGTCACTTGTTTGTGTGCCCATGAAGACTCCAGGTACATTAAACTATATAACAAAACTAATGTACAACTCTGTTATTCATTTCATAAAAGTGTTGATATTCATTTTGCTTATAGATATAATAGATTCATGATAAAATGTGGAGGCTACAAAATATGGTTCTAAATTCAAATACAGTAATTGCTGTATTTTAAAATTTGCTATTGAAAGATGCATAAAATATTTTTTATAGATTTGGATGCATCAATTTATATACTGTTTCTTTCACTACATTTCTAATCATCAATTCAATATTCTCAATAATTCATTTAAGGTTATTATACATCTGGATTCACTTAGGTGTCTGTGTTTTGTTCACCATTCATCTGTTAGTGATAGAGGACCTTATTACCCATTTATATCTACACGAGCTGAATTATGTTCCATCAGTAGAATTTAATCTGTCATGCAAATTTTTAAATTTCCAGTGGTTGTAGCACAGGCTGGGCATTGTGTATACTGCTCCATTGTTCTTCCACTCTGTGTGAAGAACTTTGTAGTATCTGTTTGCCATTTCTTAGTTTACAACTGTAGTTTGTTGTTCTCCCTGTTGATGGTATTAAGAAACCTTTCATGTCTATTCTCTTGCATCTTTTATAATCTTCATGTCTTCTCTATTCGTATCAGTCAGAGATGGCACGTCTAGCATTTTGACCCTTCTTTGTAACATACAGTGGAACCTTGGTACTCGAAGTTAATTCATTCCGGAAGGCTGTTTGATGGCCATCTGTTCGAGTACCAAACAAATTTTTCCCAGCCAACATTCTTTTTGATTGGTTGTTATCACTAATCTTCGTAGGCCCCATGGTGACTTATTTATACAAATAATATAAAAAAAGCACCAAAAAATTTGAAGAAACATGAAATAGTTTACAGCAAAGTTCTGGCAGGTCATGTTTGGTCAAATGCTGAGTAAATGGTCGACTAGTGAGTGATTTTTTTTTACCAAACAAAGTGTTTGAATACCAAATTGTTTGAGTAGGGAGCTGTTCGAGTATCAAGGTTTCACTGTATTTTCCTAGTTCTCACAGCCATTTCATAACTTCTCTTTTTTCTAGTTTGTACAAATTTTTTGTTTAAGTACAGACATTAAACCACTAATATCACTGCATATTACAATGTTGTAGCTGCAGACACTACACTACGATCACTGTATATTACAATGTTGTAGGTGCAGACACTACACCATCACTTTATATTAGTGTTGTAGGTGCAGATACTAGACCACCACCATTGCATATTACAGTGTTGGTGTAATTTATGTTTTAAATTGATTTTTTTTAACATTTCTGCATGAATATACAGTGGTACCTTGACTTATGAGTTTAATCCGTTCTGTGACCTAGCTTGTAACTCACTTTGCTCGTATATCAAATAAATTTTCCTCATTGCAATTAATTGAAATGCTTTAATCCATTCCAACAGAATTCCTGCTCTCGGGAGGCAGGAGAAAATAAATGTATGTACTTCAATATAACGCTAATATCAACTCCACAGCTTATTTATCTATCACAATTGATCTAATATGACATAATAAACAATACATGTATAAATAACAGAAACATGATAAATACTCTAGAATGGATAAAATATGTCATTATGTGATGAGTGGTGACGGCCACTCCTGCTCCCACTCTGACCATATCTTCGCATTCTTCCCCTTCTCAAAATGGAGTGTTTGTGAGGCTAACTGCACTAGATCACTAGTTTCATCAGGAAAACATTGAAACAATGTATTTATAAATAAGAAATATTGTATAAAAACATAATAAAAAATACATAATAGAGAATATAAGATAGAATATATAATAGAGAATATAAAGATATAAGCGACTATTGGCAGAAAGGTGGGCTAGTGCAAAGATGAGTATGGGGAGGTTGAAGAGGGTTGGAATAGTTTTAAAAATGCAGTATTAGAATGTGGGGCAGAAGTTTGTGGTTATAGGAGGGTGGGGGCAGGAGGAAAGAGGAGTGATTGGTGGAATAATGAAGTAAAGGGTGTGATAAAAGAGAAAAAAGGTAGCTTACAAGAGGTTTTTACAAAGCAGAAGTGTTATAAGAAGAGCAGAGTATATGGAGAGTAAAAGAAAGGTGAAGAGAGTGGTGAGAGAGTGCAAAAGGAGAGCAGATGAAAGAGTGGGAGAGGCACTGTCAAGAAATTTTAATGAAAATAAGAAAAAATTTTGGAGGGAGTTAAACAAGTTAAGAAAGCCTAGGGAAAGTATGGATTTGTCAGTTAAAAACAGAGTAGGGGAGTTAGTAGATGGGGAGAGGGAGGTATTAGGTAGATGGCGAGAATATTTTGAGGAACTTTTAAATGTTAAGGAAGAAAGGGAGGCGGTAATTTCAAGCACTGGCCAGGGAGGATAACCATTTTTAGGAGTGAAGAAGACAGAATGTAAGTGTGGTGGAGGTACGTGAGGCATTACGTAGAATGAAAGGGGTAAAGCAGCTGGAACTGATGGGATCATGACAGAAATGTTAAAGCAGGGGGGGATATAGTTTTGGGAGTGGTTGGTACTTTTGTTTAATAAATGTATGAAAGAGGGGAAGGTACCTGGGGATTGGCAGAGAGCATTTTATAGTCCCTTTATAAAAAGGGGAAAAAGGGGAAAAAAGAGATTGTAAAAATTATAGAGGAATAAGTTTACTGAGTATACCAGGAAAAGAAAACGGTAGGGTTATAATTGAAAGAATTAGAGGTAAGACAAATGTAGAATTGCGGACGAGCAAGGAGGTTTCAGAGTGGGTAGGGGATGTGTAGATCAAGTGTTTACATTGAAGCATAAAATGTGAACAGTATTCAGATAAAGGTGGGGAAGTTTTTATTGCATTTATGGATTTAGAAAAGGCATATGATAGAGTGGATAGAGGAGCAATGTGGCAGTTTGTTGCAAGTAAAATGGAAAGGTGGTAAGTTATAAAATGCTGTAAAGAGCTTTTATGGGGATAGTGAGGCTCATTTAGGGTGTGTAGAGAGAGGGAGAATACTTCCCCCGGTAAAAGAAGGTCTTAGACGGGATTGTAATGTCACCATGGTTGTTTAATATATTTATAGATGGGGTTGTAAAAGAAGTAAATGCTAGGGTGTTCGGGAGAGGGGGGGGATAAATTATGGGGAATCAAATTTAAAATGGGAATTGACACAGTTACTTTTGCTGATGATACTGTGCTTTTGGGAGATTCTAAAGAAAAATTGCAAAGGTTAGTGGATGAGTTTGAGAATGTGTGTAAAGGTAGAAAGTTGAAAGTGAACATAGAAAAGAGTAAGGTGATGAGGGTATCAAATGATTTAGATAAAAGAAAAATTGGATATCAAATTGGGGAGGAGGAGTATGGGAAAAAGTGAATGTTTTCAGATACTACTTGGGAGTTGACGTGTCGGCGGATGGATTTATGAAGGATGAGGTTTAATCAAGAATTGATGAGGGAAAAAAGGTGAGTGGTGCGTTGAGGTATATGTGGAGTCAAAAAACGTTAAACTATGGAGGCAAAGAAGGGAATGTATGAAAGTATAGTAGTACGAACACTCTTAAATGGATGTGAAGCTTGGGTGGTAATGCAGCAGCGAGGAGACGGTTGGAGGCATGGAGATGTCCTGTCTAAGGGCAATGTTTTGGTGTAAAAATTATGCAGAAAATTCGGAGTGTGGAAAATTAGGAGAAGGTTGTGGAGTTAATAAAAGCATTAGTCAGAGGGCAGAAGAGGGGTTGTTGAGGTGGTTTGGTCATTTGAGAGATTGGATCAAAGTAGAATGACATGGAAAGCATATAAATCTATAGGGAAGGAAAGAGGGGTAGGGGTCGTCCTCGAAAGGTTGGAGAGAGGGGGTAAAGGAGGTTTCGTGGGTTAGGGGCTTGGACTTCCAGCAAGCGTGCATGAGCGTGTTAGATAGGAGTGAATGGAGACGAATGATACTTGGGACCTGACGATCTGTTGAGTGTGAGCAGGGTAATATTTAGTGAAGGGATTCAGGGAAACCGGTTATTTTCATATAGTCGGACTTGAGTCCTGGAAATGGGAAGTACAATGCCTGCACTTTAAAGGAGGGGTTTGGGATATTGGCAGTTTGGAGGGATATGTTGTGTATCTCTATACGTATATGCTTCTAAACTGTTATATTCTGAGCACCTCTGCAAAAGCAGTGATAATGTGTGAGTGTGGTGAAAGTGTTGAATGATGATGAAAGTATTTTCTTTTTGGGGATTTTCTTTCTTTTTTTTTGGGTCACCCTGCCTCGGTGGGAGACGACCGACTTGTTGAAAAAAAAAAAAAAAAAAAAAAAATAGAGAATGTAAAGAAATAAACTGGTTTATAAAGTGTACGTATTTACCTTGGAGAACAGATGCTGGCGGAGGTGGAGGGTGGAAAAGATAGGCTACTTTCTACACTCTTTATGCTGCACTTTACTGCTGAACTTAATTACTACTCTTTTAATGCTACACTTTATCACTGAACTTAATTGCTACACTCTTAACCCTTTCAGGGTCGAGAGACCCTCTCCTAAACTTGCTCTCAGGGTCGAAATTTTTTTGGAAAAAAAAAAATTATTTTTTCTTATGAAATGATAGAGAATCTTTTCCCAGTCATAATGACTCCAAAAGTATGAAATTTGATGGAAAACTTACGGAATTATGCTCTCGCGAAGTTAGTGGTCTCGACGATGTTTATGCATCGGCGATTTCGCCCACTTTGAGCCCTATTTTCAGCCAATTCCTGTGTACTAGTCAACAAAAATCATATCTATTTTGCTAGAATGAGTACAAGAAACCACCCATTTACTGATTTCAATTATCCAATAGAGTGGTCAGAAATTGGCAATTTTGCCAATTTCACACAAATTTCAAAAGATGCCAATTTCCAAATAGGGTCCAGAATAAGCAAGACAGACATACCTGGTGTTAAAATAATATTTTCTCTGTTCATTAGTCACATCCCCAGGCCCCTCTTATGTCTCTTTTGCTTTCCACTTTGAATTTTTATTCTCACAAAAAATAGAAGATTTACTGTTATGCAGGCTACTGCATTGGTGTAGAAATGGTATAAATAATATCAGTGCACTTTTGAAAGAATATTAGACTCACCAGTTGACGTGTATTGGATGCTTGGCATAATTTGTTTACTTTTGAAATCTGGTAAAAATTGAACATTTCTGCTACTTTGAGCTCAATTTCAAGGTACTTTTCATTATGAAACCAATCAAAATCATCTCAATTTCTGTAATATGTCTCCCATTCTATAAAATGAGACCAGGAAAACTAGAATATAACCATAAATACTATACGAAAATACAGTGCAAAGTCGCTGTTTTAAACCAAAAACATGGTCAGAGTTTTTTTCTCTCATTATGCACTGTGTGCTGCAGGATTTTTTTTTATACTGTGCACGCTGACCACATAAACCCATTCTTTCATATGTAGGCCTACCAGCTTTCTCTCACAAGATTTGAAGGCGCTAGAATTTAGGCGTTCTAGTACATCAATAACCCTGGTGCATAAGCTGTACTAGTATGTTAGAAACCCTGAAAGGGTTAATGGTACACTTTATTGCTGAACTTAATTGCTACACTTTATTTCTGAATTTAAATTACTGTAATGCCCTTGGCTGGTGCTATAGCCTTTTTTTTTTTTTTTCTTTTTTTTTTTTTACACAGGGTTTGGCAAGGTTAGATTAAGGATCCCTAACTTTATTGACAAGCTATTTACAGGTTAAGGATTCCTAACTTTATTGACAAGCTAAGAGCTGTTACCTACATCAGCTCATTTGAAAGCATTTTTATTGTTATGAGACATACAAGTAGAGAACAGGATGAAGTTTATCAACTCCTGCTTTAGTATTGTACATATCGTAGAAGTACTATGCTGGTACTGCCTGGCCAAGTCCACAACCCACACACCTCGCTTGTGTTTATCTATGATTTTATTCTTTAATTCAATGGACATTATCCTGTTTTTCTTCTCAGCACTCTCCTTTGCACTTACTTTCTTAGGACCCATGGTTAGAAAAAAGAAATTTGGCAAAATAACTGCACAAAACACAAGCACAAGAGAAATGCTTCCATGGTGAGGTAAACACATGCACTGCTGAGCGGATGTTGTGGTGTTTGCTGTGTGAACTAGTGGCGGTGTTCTAAAGCTTGCTCGTAACTCGGATTTTGGCTCGTAACTCAGAGCAAAAAATCGACCAAGCTATGACTCGTAACTCGAAAACTCGTATGTTGAGTCACTTGTAAGTCGAGGTTCCACTGTATTTAAAAGCTGTTATAATGCTGGCTAGTGTACCTTATGAGTTCCTCATAGTTTCATTATTACGATCTTCCAATTGCAGCCCTTTGTTTATAATGACCCCTTAGTCTTTCTGAAGATTCCAGAATTTTGTAAAAAAAAAAAAAGAAAAATTGTGGCCTATTTTTGCTTTCTCACATTTCCATTACTCTGCAGTTATCCATATTTAATTACATCATTCATCTATCACTCCACTTCCTTAATTTATATGTCTTACAGGGATTTAAGATAATTTTATTTGTTACATAGGATCCCTGCATCATCTGTAAACATGTTCATCTTGTTTTTATTCCCACACGCAGTTTATATAAATTTCAGACACTATCGCAGCAAGCACTGATCCTGCTGGTGAAATTTTTCCGTGAGGACATTTTTTTTCTTTTTTCACTGTTTTTATTTCATTTTCAAACAGAACCTCTCTACCCATCCACTCTGTCGCAGTAATATATTTTATATTTTTCTTGTACCTAGTACTTTCCATATCAGTTTTTCATGTGGAATTCGTACGCAAACTTCCTTGATTTTTTGATGTACGTACAGGTACCCCTCACTTAACGACCAAGTTAGGTTCTTAAAGTATGTCGGTAAGTGAATTGGTCATTAAATGAGGAGTCGCTCCTTACTGACATTCCAAGCATACTATACTGGTAGTGGGTTTGTGTCAGCCCTCTTTAGATTTTGTTTTAATGTCACTTATGCACTATTTATACCATTTTTAGTATGTTAAAAATAGAACTAAGCATTAAAAAAATGAAAAAGTAAAATACACATACAGTACTCTCATTACTTACCTTGAAATATGTGTAGGGTGAGTAGCACTTATTGTAATGATACAGTGCATGTACTGTACAGTACACTTAAAATATTTGTAATCCTGATGTAGAGTGAGAGGTGAGTATTTATTGTAGAAAGAGGAAGAAGAGGAAAGAATGTAAGAAATACAAAAAAAGCTCACTGTAATGGAGTTAGCTGGTGTGTTCATCTGTTTACAGCCTCGGGATATCTCAGCATCTCTCGTGGCATCTGAGGATAGGTGTTAGAAATGATTAAACTCAGTGAACAAGGTATGTTGATGGTAATAATAATAATAATAATAATAATAATAATTAATAAAAATAGCTCTGGAGCACTTTAAATGTCATATATTTCATGTAGGTTTGGTAGCTGACCCAGCTACCAAACCTACACGAAATATATGACATTTAAAGCACTCCAGAGCGATTGCTATTATTATTAATTATTATTATTATGATTATTATTAGGTATAAAGTTGAAAGTGAACATAGATAAGAGTAAAGTGATGAGGGTATCAAATAAGTTAAGTAATGAAATATTGGATATCAGATTGGAGGGAGTATGGAAGAAGTGAATGTGTTAAGATATTTGGGAGTGGATGTGTTGGTGGATGAGTATATGAATGACGAGGTAAACCATAGAATAGATGAAGGGAAAAAAGTAGATGGTGCATTGAGGTATCTGTGGAGACAAAGAATGTTATCCATTTTGGCAAAGAGAGGAGTGTATAATGGTACAAACATTCATATGGTGTGAAGCATGGGTTGTGAATGTTGCAGCGAGAAGAAGGATGGAGGCAGTGGAGATGTCGTCTCTAAGTCAGTGTGTGGTGTAAATATTATATAGAGAATTCGTAGTTTGAAGATTAGGAGGAGGAGGTGCGGAGGGGCTGAGGAGGGGTTATTGAGGTGGTTTGGTTATTTAAAGAAGATGAAGCAAAATTGGATGACTTAGAGGGTGTATAAATCTGTAATGGACGGAAGATGGGGTAGGGATCCTCCTAGGAAAGGATGGAGGGAGAGGGTAAAGGAGGTTTTGTGTGCAAGGGGCTTGGGCATATAGCAGGCATGTGTGAACATATTAGATAGGAATGAGTAGAGACAAATGGTGAGCAGGGTAATATTTTGTGAAGGGATTCAGGGAAACTGGTTAGTTGGACTTGAGTCCTGGAGGTGGGAAGTGCAATGCCTGCACTCTAATGTATGGGTTTGGGATATCTGCTGTTTGGAGGGACATCTAAAGTGTCGTATCTATGTGCCTCTTGCAAGATGGTGAATGATGGTGAATGATGGTGAAAATGTTTCTTTTGTGGGTTACCCTCCCTTGTTGGGGATACAGCCTGTGTGTTAAAAAATAAAAGCAACAATCACTGAAGTGAATGTGAGGCTCATCACAATTCTATTTCATGACCCACATTGGTGACTACTTCACTAGGTTTAAATGCTGCCCTCCTGACAAGTACCCTCATCTGCCATTCACTGCTGAATGACACTTGCGAATTTTGCACTTTATATGCAGTAGACTGTCATTTAGCATGGTAGTTACATTCCTGAAAATGCTGTTTTAGTTAAAATTGTGTTAGACAAACTGAAGAACTTATGGGAAAAATAGGGTTATGTTCCTAAGAGCCCCAAGAAAGCCAAACAACTTTTTTTAGACCTCCAGATCTTACAAAAATAAAAGTGAATATATAATTGTAGTTCATTGTCGTGATGTTTTATGTTGTTTTTACTTCTTAAGATTACAAATGCAACAGAAATAATAGTATTTCTTACCTTAAATTGTGCTTGCTAGTGTTCGTGGATGATTGTGGAGAGTGGAGAGTTATGCTGTGGACCTACTGGGCTGAGGTGGATGGTAGAGGTACTGGTACTGAAGTCGATGGTTGTACTGGAGTGTGCATAAATTCTGTAGTGGATTTATTTTACCCCGCAGTACATTATACAACTGACAGTAAGGCATCAGCTGCTCTAGACACTGTTTCAGGGTGCTCTTCAGTGAGAAAGTCTACCTTCAAGTCAGTCAGTAAATCATTCAAGTCAGTAAGTCAGTAAATCAATCAGTCAGTCAGTCAAGTCAGTCAGTAATACAGTCAGTCAGTAAATCAGTCAGTAAGTCAGTCAAGTCAGTAAGTCATCATACAAACTCATATTCATCTCATTCTTTTTATGTGCAAAGAGACGCTTCATTACGGCCACGGGCTATCTCTTGTCTAATATCTCTATTTTCTTCGTTAATTATGAGACTTAAATGCTTAAACCTTTTCTTGCCACTTTCAGCAACACTTGTATGCCTACTGGGTGCTGTGATTGCTTGGTAGATTTAAGATATGGCAAGAAAAAGATATAAACTCCTAGCAGAGGATGTTACGTATCCTGCGGGCAAAGCGCTCAAAATTTTTTCCCCTCCTGCAAATTGTGTTAAGTTAATTTTATGAAGTGTTATACAAAAATATGCTGCAATTCTTCAGTCATGCTATAACCAAAACGTACCTGACAAAACCACGTTAAATGATGATCTACTGTAATAGTATTACTCATTTGACGTGTTCAGCCAAATTTTTATTTTTGTGTGTGTGTTTGTGTGTTGCAGGAATTCACCTCACAAAGTTGATTGACAAACTTGGAATGCGAAGCTCTGACACAGGTGAAATATTCTTCGAAGAAGTCAGAGTTCCAGCAAAGAATATTGTGGGAGAAGAAGGGAAGGGATTCACTTACCAGATGATACAGGTAATGACTGTGTGAGGTTGTTGGTGTAATGAACAGGAGGAAATGTTAATATAATGATCGTGTGAGATTGTTAATTCAATAAAGGTGAGATTATTGTTATAATAACAGTGTAAGATTGTTAATGTAATGTTAAGAAACAGTGTCTGTTATATGTAATGTTAAGAAACAGTGTCTGATATATGAAGAAGTTGGGAAAATTCAGTTTTGCTCTTTAGTTTAGCGTAGATTTAAACGAAAGTGTATAGGGAAAAACCCATGATGAAAACCCTTAAAAACATTGTGTATATGAATTTTTAAAGAGTTTTGGGGGTTGATTTTAATGTTTGGGGTTGGTGTTGATTTTCACTCTGTTGTTTCGTGGGTTTGAAAAGGGCATATAAAACTAGAGTTTCAAGCATTTGTTGGTTGGCTTTGGTGCTTTTTTGTAATTGTAAAGGGAATTGAGAAAATTTGGGGGACTTTTTGGCTTGGTAATAGCCCGCCCACAGATGAAGTTGAACTGTTAGGTGTTTGATGATGAAATAATAAAAAATTGTAAAATTTTTAAAACTTCTGCATGATACAATGTTTGTACAGAGATGGGTGATACTTAAATTTTGTGTAAAAAAAACCCCCTTTTTTTAAAGCAGAGCATTTTGGGGAAAGTTTAAACCCAAATTTTTAAGCTACAAGGGCAATAACAATTTAAATTTAAATTCCCCTTTATATATGGGGAACATTATGAGTTTACAGTAAGGCCCCTTTTTACAGCGTTTAAACCTTAGGGGCTTTTCTCCCAAAAATAGGGCCCGATGAAAAAATTATGATCGGGAATTTTGCTTCCCACCAAGGGGGTTTTTTTTCAAATACGGTACCCCCCCCGGTTTTTTTTTCCCTTCTCCGTGACCAAAATCTATTATGTCAGGAAATTTTCCCAAAATTTAAATTAAACCAATTTATTTTTGTTACCCTCAAAAACCCTTACAATCCCGGAAAGGAGTAAAGGGTTTTATGAGGATAACAAAAAATTTTTAGGTTGATAAAAAGTTTGGGTTATCAGTTTGGGAAAAGGGAGAAAAGAGGGAAAGGGGGGTGAATGTATTCAGATATTTGGGAGTGGACGTGCAGCGGAGGGGTTCTATGAAGGATGAGTGAAAACCTTTGAATTGATGAGGGGAAAAGGGTGAGTGGGCACTTAGAGTCCCGTGGAAACCAAGAACTTGGTTCCCCTTTGGAAAGGGAAAGGGGGAAAAAGTATGAGAGGATAGTTTTAAACCCAAAACCCCTTATATGGGGGGTGAAGCATGGGGGATGAATGGTTTTTTTTAGCGAGGAGAAGGGGGAGGCAAATGGGGATGTCATGTTGAGGGCAATGTGTGGTGTAAAATTAATGCAGAGAAAAAATTTGTTGTTTGGAAGTTAGGGGGGGGGTGGGGGGATTACCAAAACTGTTGTTAGGGGGGCTGAGGAAGGGTTGGGTTTAGGTGGTTCGGACATGGAGAGAGATTTGGGGCGAAACAGAATGACTTAAGAGTTTTATCAGTCTGTAGTGGAAGGAAGGCCCGGGGGAAAGGGGGCCCGGCCCCCCAGGAAAAGGGTTTGGGGGGGGGGGTAAAAAGGGGGTTTTGTGTGAAGGGGCTTTGGGCTTTCCCGGCCCGGCGGGGTGGGTGTTTTTATAGGAAAAAGGGGAATGGAAAATGAATTTGGGTTTTTTAAACCCTTTTAGGGGCGACAGGGGGCCCCCTCCGAAAACTCGTTTCTCAGGGTCGGCCCCAAAAAACAAAAAAAAAAAAAAATTTTTTTTGCTTATGGAAAAAAAAAGAGGGGGTTTTTTTTCCCAAAAAAGGTAGAAAGGGTTTGGGAGACAGAAACCCCCCAGGGAAGGGACTACCCTCCTGGGCCCAAAAAAGACTGTGAAACAAAAAAACCCGTAAAAATTTGCATGATGGTAGGTTTTCGGGGTTTTTTTTTTTCTGTTTTCATAAAAACCTAAGATAACCCGGGGTAAACTTGTACTCCTACTTACACTTTGGTTTTTCCCCTTCACAGACACGCACATGATATATATATAATACTTTCATTAGGTTTTTCCCCCCTTTTTTTTTAATGCCTTTTTCTTTTTTATTTCTTTTATTGCCAGGGGGGAAATGGGAAAAAAAATCTTTTTCCCCCGTAAGCCATGCGGTCGGATGAGGCGACAAAATCCCCGGGGGCCCAAAGGGGTGTAACCCCCCTTTTTCCTGTATACATTTAAATAAAAAAAAGAAAGAAAAAAACTTTATAAAACTGGGATGCTTAAAAAGTGCGTGGATGTAGGGGGGGGAAGGGCAAGGGAAAAAGATTGATTGCTGATTTATGAAAGAAAAGAAGTTGGAAAGTCCTGGCTCTAAGCGAAACAAAGCTGAAGGGGGGTAGGAGAGTTTCAGTGGGGGGAAATAAATGGGATTAAATTGGAGTATCTGAGAGAGTTAGAGGCAAAGGAAGGGGTAGCAGTAATGTTAAAAATGATCAGTTATGGAAGGAGAAAGAGAATATGAATGTGTAAATTCAAGAATTATGTGGATTAAAGTAAAGGTTGGATGCGAGAAGTGGGTCATAATAAGCGTGTATGCACCTGGAGAAGAGAGGAATGCAGAGGAGAGAGAGAGATTTTGGGAGATGTTAAGTGAATGTATAGGAGCCTTTGAACCAAGTGAGAGAGTAATTGTGGTAGGGGACCTGAATGCTAAAGTAGGAGAAACTTTTAGAGAGGGCGTGGTAGGTAAGTTTGGGGTGCCAGGTGTAAATGATAATGGGAGCCCTTTGATTGAACTTTGTATAGAAAGGGGTTTTAGTTATAGGTAATACATATTTTAAGAAAAAGAGGATAAATAAGTATACACGATATGATGTAGGGCGAAATGACAGTAGTTTGTTGGATTATGTATTGGTAGATAAAAGACTGTTGAGTAGACTTCAGGATGTACATGTTTATAGAGGGGCCACAGATATATCAGATCACTTTCTAGTTGTAGCTACACTGAGAGTAAAAGGTAGATGGGATCCCAAGGAGAATAGAAGCTCAGGGAAGAGAGAGGTGAAGTTTATAAACTAAAAGAGGGGGCAGTTAGGGTAAGATATAAACAGCTATTGGAGGATAGATGGGCTAATGAGAGCATTAGGCAATGGGGTCGAAGAGGAAATGGGGTGGGTTTAAAAATGAAAGTGTTAGAGTGTTTCCCAGCAGAATTTTTGGGGTTACAGGAAAGTGGGTGCAGGAGGGAAGAGGAGCGATTGGTGGAATGATGATGTAAAGAGAGTAGTAAGGGAGAAAAAGTTAGCATATGAAAAGTTTTTACAAAGTAGAAGTGATGCAAGGAGGGAAGAGTATATGGAAAAAAGAGAGAGGTTAAGAGAGTGGTAAAGCAATGAAAAAAGAGAGCAAATAAAGAGAGTGGGTGAGATGTTATCAACAAATTTTGTTGAAAATAAGAAAAAGTTTTGGAGTGAGGATTAACAAGTTGAAAGCCTAGAGAACAAATGGATTTTGTCAGTTAAAAAATAGGAGAGGAGAGTTATTAAATGGAGAGTTAGGAGGTATTGGGAAGATGGAGGGAATATTTTTTAGGAATTGTTAAATGTTGTTGAAGATAGGGAAGCTGTGATTTCGTGTATAGGGCAAGGGAATAAAAATCTTGTAGGAGTGAGGAAGAGCCAGTTGTGGTGTGGGGGAAGTTCGTGAGGCAGTAGGTAAAATGAAAGGGGGTAAGGCAGCCGGGGTTGATGGGATAAAGACGAAATGTTAAAAAACAGGTGGGGATATAGTTTTGGAGTGGTTGGGCAATTATTTAATAAAAAGTATGGAAGAGGGTAAAGGGACCCAGGATTGCAGAGAGCATGCCCTAGTTCCTTTGTTTTAAAGGCAAAGGGGATAAAAGAGAGTGCAAAAATTATAGGGGGATAAGTCTGTTGAGTGTACCTGGTAAAGTGTATGGTAGAGTTATAATTGAAAGAATTAAGAGTAAGACGGAGAATATGATAGCCCAAAAGAACAAAAGGGGGCTTTAGGAAAGGTAGGGGGGTGTGTGGACCAGGTGTTTACAGTGAAAAATATAAGTGAACAGTATTGAGATAAGGCTAAAAAGGTCTTTGTGGCATTTATGGGTTTGGAAAAGGCGTATGACAGGGTGGGGTAGGGGGGGAATGTGGCAGATGTTGCAAGTGTATGGTGTAGGAGGTAGGTTACTGAAAGCAGTGAAGAGTTTTTACGAGGATAGTGAGGCTCAAGTTTGAGTATGTAGGAAAGAGGGAATTTTTTTCCCAGTAAAAGTAGGCCCTTAGACAAGGATGTGTGATGTCACCGTGGTTGTTTAATATATTTTAGATGGGGTTGTAAGAGAAGTAAATGCGAGGGTCTTGGCAAGAGGTGTGGAGTTAAAGATAAAGAATCACACACAAAGTGGGAGTTGTCACAGCTGCTCTTTGCTGATGACACTGTGCTCTTGGGAGATTCTGAAGAGAAGTTGCAGAGATTGGTGGATGAATTTGGTAGGGTGTGCAAAAGAAGAAAATTAAAGGTGAATACGGGAAAAGAGTAAGGTTATGAGGATAAAAAGATTGGGTGATGGAAAGATTGAATATCAGATTGGAGGGAGAGAGTATGGAGGAGGTGAACGTATTCAGATATTTGGGAGTGGACGTGTCAGCGGATGGGTCTATGAAGGATGAGGTAAATCATAGAATTGATGAGGGAAAAAGAGTGAGTGGTCCCACTTAGGAGTCTGTGGAGACAAAGAACTTTGCCTTGGAGGCAAAGAGGGGAATGTATGAGAGTAATAGTTTTAACCAACGCTCTTATATGGGTGTGAAGCGTGGGTGATGAATGTTGCAGGAGGAGAAGGCTGGGGGCAGGGGAGATGTCATGTCTGAGGGCAATGTGTGGTGTGAATATAATGCAGAGAATTCGTAGTTTGGAAGTTGGGAGGAGGTGCGGGATTACCAAAACTGTTGTCCAGAGGGCTGAGGAAGGGTTGTTGAGGTGG